ATACGTTGCCCAGGGTGCACCACGTGGAGGTAGGTCTATCGCACACCCCGATTTTGCATATGTAAAGTCTATCGTACTTCATTTCAGCAAACCTTAAATGTCCACAGTAAAATTTGAGTAGAGATCCCTATGGTCTGCGTTGAAACGCAATAAGGAAGAGTTCAAATAGTCCAATCCCAAGATCGATGTTGATGAGGGCTAGATATTCTCAAACATTCATTAACAACCAAAACTACCTAACTAGAAGCCTCGTTCATAATGCAAGGAGGGAATTTGGGGGTGGGTGAGGGGGGGACGAATTCTACACTTTGATGACTTCATGAGTTTGTATGCAATATCCTGTATGCTTCGCGAGCCATGAATTTATGCAGAGTCAATCAAGGGGCTTTGTCTGGGAAATCTCGTTGTCAATCTAAAACGAAATCGACTTCATCCTAGGGTGGCAGTGGAAGAGATTTCCTTCTTTGTCACTTTAAAACATCGTTTCTTAATCATTAGAACTGGAAAAAAACGTATTTTTCATAAATTTAGGGTTATGGCATATTGGGCCAGTTGACTGAGAAGTCATTCGCTTAAACAGCGAATCCCAGTGATCTCTTTCCTCCAAAAGTGCAATCCTGGCGATAAAGTCCACCAAAATGTTCACGGAAGTGTACAGTGCACTTTCACTAATAAACGAGATAGATTTGTACTTCAGTGGAGTCGATCACTAAGACACTTAGATGCCTATTTCGGTGCTTTAAATTGAATAAAATTAGCAAGCAATTGGAACGATTTATATCTCTTAAAGTGGGGTGTGCGATAGACTCACCTCCACGTGGTACACCCAGGGCAACGTATTCTCATACGGTAAAAAAGTCTATTAACCGGCAGTTGACTTCTGACTTCTAACTAACATGACCCCACTGTATATCATATTCGTAAATTCGACCACTTCAACAGTACTCATCTTACCTTTTCTCTTCGACTTCTCACTTCAAACTACCATCACCCCACTGTATGTCAAATTCGACCCCTTCCACAGTACTCACCTCACCTTTGCTCTACTGTCGACTTCTTCCACAGTACTAACCTCACCTTTTTTCTACCTATTTCTCACTTCAAACTACCATCACCCCACTGTATGTCATATACCTCTGACTTCAAACTACCATCACCCCACTGTATGTCATATTTCACCACTTCCACAGTACTCACCTCGCCTTTTTTCTACCTTCAGTTGACTCTGACCCCACTGTATGTCATATTCGACTAAGGCAGTTGACTTCTCACTTCAAACTACCACCACCTCATGCACTATGGGCAACGTATACTCATATGGCAAAAAAGTCTATTAACCTGCAGTTGACTTCTGACTTCAAACTACCACGACCCCCAAACTTGTCATATTCGACCCCTTACACAGTACTCACCTTACCTTGTCATATTCGACCACTTTCACAGTACTCACCTTACCTTTTCCTACGTTTGTGTCTGTCTGTCTGTCTCTTTATATCTGCGAATAACTCTTCTGTTTCCCTCTCCACTTTCTGTTACTTTGATGTTCCTCCAATTTGTGAAGTCCGAAGTCATCTAAGGGGCCAATGATAACTATCGAAACGCTTCAAGCATCTGCTGGTAAAATGTATCAATTCAGAATAACATTCAAAATGAAATGACATTTTAGCAAAATTTATACCACGAGATAACAAAAGCACTTGGATGGTGAGAATAAGGGCCTGATCTGAGCTTGACCTAAAAGACCCCTCGTAAACAGTCATCCCACATATCCACCAGAATAAATCAATGCGGTTGGTTATCCAAACCAGTGGAATTACAATGGTAACCACATATTTGGCTGATTTTCCCCATAAATGCCTACACATTTTGTGACGAAATCAAGTGCCACTGTGACAATTAAGGGATACGTAAAAATCCCGAGGCGGGGGGGGGGGGGGGTAGAATAACTAACAGAATGTCAAGAGGTGGATTATAAAAGAGTAGTATTCTAGGTTTTCGAAACAACAAAAGTTATCAAAGACAGGTTTTCAAGAGTAGAACGGGATTTGGAATGGATGTGAAATCTGTGATATTGCATAGGTCATACAAGTAAGCTTTGTGGAACTCATTCATCCATGTTAACTCCGCATTTTCACTTACCTGGCACCATTGGAAGCCAGACGTGAAAAGAAGTAGGAATTAGTCCTCTTACGCGCCAATTTAAAGGTATTGTTCATCTATATTCGTATGTTCCTTAACTGCAGCATTATCGATTAAATAGCTCGAAAATCAATACCGTAGCTCATATAAGAGGACACTCGACACTAACTCCTTAAAGAAAGTTCAAGGAGAGACTTTGGTTGGTTGTATGCTTTATAGGTCCGAGGTAGTGTATCTTAGGCTCCAAATTTGATTATACAGGGAGCTTTATATCACTGTAAGAGGGGTGTGCGATAGACTTACCTCCACGTGGTTCACCCTGGACAACGTATACTCATACGGCAAAAAAGTCTATTAACTGGCAGTTGACTTTTGACTTCAAACTTCCATGACCCCCCACTGTTTGTCATATTCGACTACTTCCACAGTAACCACCTCACCCTTTTCTACCTTCGTGTCTGTCTCTTTTACATCTGTGAATCACTCTTCTGTTCCTCCTCCCCTCTCGAATTTTTTCGCTTTGATGTTCCTCCTCCCCTCTGTGAAGCCTGAAGTCAACTAAAGGGCTAATGATAACCATCAAGACGCCTGCCATTTGATATAAATAAAATAAATATTGAGGAGGACATTTCCAAATATAGCTTTTCAACCACACTTGACCTTGAAATCGGGTACTGAAAATGTCACCACCACCACCACCAAGGGAACACTGGCATTATTACATTTCAATATTCTCACCGATTTCACTTGAGTTGGGCATTTAAACATGTGTGGTGACTGATTATCGTAAAACTTTATGAAATGCAGGGTGAGTATTGAAGTGATCTCGAAAGAGGAAACAGTGTAACCAACCCAATTCTGTGACCCACCTATCTATGGAGAACCAGAAGCAATCGAAATAATGTCAATGATCATATTTTATTCGTTAACAAAATATGCTACATATATATGTACACATGAACTCATAAAATTAAGTATTTCAGGCATTAATTAAGCATATGGCTTAATTTCTGCCATTTTTCTTGTTTTTACTTGACTTTTGAGAGGTAGTTGTCGATCTTGGCACTGTAGAGCCGGCCTTTTTATTGTGGTTTTTCTTTGGAGGAAACACCCCATTTGCTTGATTTGAAGCTGAAATAAAACAGCCTACTTATTAAAATTCAATAGAAAGTTGAATATCAAAAAAGCACTTTGCACTTGCCAGTCTGAGAGCAAGACATTTTCTGAGTTTTAGTATTAGACGAGGAGACAACAATGGTTACTTCCTGCTCTTCTACATCCACCCGGATCTCGGAATTTACGATTTGTTCTGGAACCTGAGAGTCCGCAACTCTTTGTCGTCGTCGCCTTGGTCTTTTTGGCTTTGCCAGTTTCCCCTTGAGAACCGGTGGCTTCTCCGTTTCGGAATCCGAATGATAAACAGATTCGACCGAGTCGTCTGAAGACGATGAAGACAAAGCATCGATATTGGGCCAATAAAGATTACACTAGTAATCAACCATCTCCTTTCATACATTTCTCATAAGACGATGAGGAGCCTACACAAATTATAAATCGGCAGCGAAGTAGGGGGGAGGGGGGGAAGGTAAGAGAATAGCGAGGTCGAAGCATTGAGATATGACGATCAACACGTTTGATTGAACCTACGATACCGCCCATCACTCAAATCGTTTGTTACTAGCACTTCTATTAATGAGGTTGGCAAATTTAATGCCCAAAGAACGAACTCCCATCACAAAAACAAATGAACTCTAACCCCACTATCGAATATACTCCACTATACAAAATCCAAGCCCACAACGACTTTTTGATTAAAGAGTTATGGGGGAATTAGAGAGCTAACATAGAGTCTACAGAAAATCCCCCCCCCCATTCTTGAATGCTAGAATGCGAATTTGAGCAGTCACCCTGATGCTCCATTGTGGATGAGTCAATATACACGCCTAGCATGCCATAAATCACGGATCCGACACCCATTGGAGCACACACACACACACACACACACACACACACACAGCGAACAGAACGCCAACTCGCACTAATTAAGTCTGGCTAATCAGACGGTTGGCAGATATAGCCTATAAACCAGAAGACTCTAAAATGTCACTCTCTCTCTCTCTCTACCCAAGGCAAGCGCTGGGGAACAATTTCAAACATGAGTCTTGAAAGTCATTAATAGAAGATCGATAAAAAAATAGCTTATCATACCTTTCACACGTGAGAGATCAGAAGTTTCGGCCAAAATCTCCACCTCCACTGCCTCATCTCTCTTGGCATCTCGTTGTTGTCTCCTCAAGGTCTTTTTAGCTCGTTTAGTCAGCTTCACCTCTTGTTTTGGCAGATCATTTAACTCCGTGCAGTCTTCACCATCGGCCTCAGAATTGACGTCAGCCGCTGCTGCAATTAAAAATGCGACATTTGCTCATTATGATCAATATGACCCCATGCAGAGAGCGCGTGAAACATTGACTAGTGGGTGTCATATCACGATGACCAATACTCTCAGCGCGCGCCAACTACCCTCATTGGTCTACATTTTGCTCTACGCGTTGGCGACTTCGAGAGTTTGGCTTACTTCCGATGCCTCAGTTCCAACATGTTTGGTGACTCACACAGTCTAACTCTTTTTGCGTAATCAATCGTTGTTTAGAAGTGGGCCACGTTGGGCACGAGTAAAACCCCCTCAAATTGTTGCACCTCTGTGTGCACTGGAGGAATTCACCGCTTACAAACAATTGAAAGTCAACATTCTAGATGAAGGATCAGGAGACAGCCTGAAACCTCCTATCTTTAATCCACTAATTAGGACTGTTTGAGTATTGTCACGACTAGTCGTGGACAAGCAAATACACTACGACGGAGAATAACAAACGATGAAAATAGAAAAAATTGAAGATGAAATTTTAAACAGCCTCTTCAGAACGGATCGATGTTAGTAATGGGGGTGCGCAATAGACTTACCTTCATGCGGTGCATTCTGGGCAACGTATACTCATACTGCAAAAATGTCCATTAACCGGCTGTTGACTCCTGACTTCAAATTACCATCACCCCACTGTATGTCATATTAGATCATTTCCACAATACTCACGTTACCTTTTTCTCTACCTTTATGTCTGTCCGTCTGTCTTTTCATCTGTGTTTCATTCTTCTATTCCTTCTCTCGAATTTTTCTCACTTTGATGTTCCTCTCCTCTGTGAAGCCCGAAGTCAACTAAAGGGCTAATGATAACTATCAAAACGCCTAACATTTGGAATAAATAAATAAATGTCAGTAACGCATGTGAAGAAAGTCCAAATTCCACCGATTAATTAGTTCAAAGCGTTACGTCTGACTAAAGTGATAAACGAATAATCACTCATGCACTCAACGACGATAAGAACACTTTTGATATTGTCATTTAGTTGAAAATTGCAAGAAAAAGTGATTCACTGCCTAAATTAATTAATGAACTCTCTCTCTCTCAGCAAACAGGGCGCGTATCGTGAATCTGCACTTGAAGGAAAAAAGGACCATATAGTCTGAATCCAATTATCAAATTGTAAATAACACGACTCCAATTACCGCGTTTATTCGATCTCTTTCTATTTAACCCAAAGTAAAATTATACTTCATGGTTCACTGAGATGTTAGACGCTTTATTTCACAACAAGTTAAGGATCGTTCTCGCAGTGAGAAATTAACGACAAAGTTCGATTGAACTGCCGAAGTTTGAGAGAAAAAAAGTGTACAAGTTACAAATCGCAGCCAAGTCCTAGCTCATAGACAACGACACCTGAACACAATCTCTTGAAATGGGGTAAGCACAACTGTTAACTCTTTTACTACATGCCATTATAATTAAGATGGATTGACAGCAACTCCCATGAATGCGTTCTATGGCGTGATAAGGTTAAATAGGGTTGCAAATTATAACTACTGTTCAAGATTATTTCTTTCGTGCGGCCTTTTAAATTAATGGGCTCCTAAATCGGCTAATAACAACGACCTGTTCGCATGAATAACTAAAAGATTCTCCTTTGGAAATGGAAGACTTCTAACTTTGAATTCACTGGGGCACAGGAATGTGTGTGGGTCATTACCATTTTCATGAATCTCTTCATCTATCATAGCACTGAGCACTTCCACTTGTTTCTTGTGCTTCTTTGATGCCTCGTGATTGAGTTTCGCTCCAATTGTTGTAAAAACCTTGTCACACCAAACACAGTAGAGCCTATGCGCCTCCCCCACGTCATGATTTTCGTCCACGAGGGAAGAAGCGTCGCCATTGACATCACCATTTTCGCCACAACCAGTAGCCTCCGAGGAGATGGAGTTGGTCTCACTTGCATCGCTGAACCGAGCTTCAAGTCTATCGAGTTCCTTCTGGAAGTCAGACTCCCATTGAGAGCTCAAACCACCTGTTGCCATTGCGTCCGCCCATTCCACTTCTAACTCGGCAATGTTTCTAGATGGCAAACAAAGAAGAAACAAAGAAGAGGATTCACACCATGTTGAGGTGTCACATCAATTACACTCATTCCTCCTTCACAATGAACCAAAAGACGTAGAAGTATTAAAATGCCACGAACTATCACAAGTTGATAGAATCGAAATTCAAATGAAATGGAATGCTCAAATAAATTAGTAGAAGCATTCACGGAAATTGACAATGGCAGAGAGAAATAGCCTCTATTCTCTTTTACGATTATGATCCGACCGAAATGTACACTGACCACTTCGCCAACAGAATATATGACAAAAAATGCTTGTTGATGAATTAATCAACATGCTTTACCAACATATAATTATTTTCTCACAAGCATCACTATACCATGTGCAAAATATTCGCAGGTGAGAAGAATGGTCAACTAGACCGAATGAGTCTAAAGGAATTCGAGTACATCACGATGAAGTTACTACATCAACGACCTACTCATAAGGAGTGTGAGAAAACGGGATCGGAAGTTAATGAGATAAGAACAGTAAAAAAACGGCAAAAAAAACAAGAACGCACTTTTGTCGAATTTTCGTGGCCTGTTCCCGAGTTTTCTCGTGCACCTCCATAGCAGCGGCCCTCACACGGTCCCGCTCAGCCTCCACACGCTTATCCCGGCGTCGAACGTGGGCCACTAGAGCACGAATCTCGTCATTTCGCTCCTTCTTGGCGGCATCTCGCAGTCGACGATTCTCTGCTTCAGCTGCACGCCTCTCCTACAAAGACCGCAGAACTGAACTCAAAGCACCGATTTACGAATTGGCAACAACACAATCGAAATGAAATTCAAAAAAAGATACAACAACGCTACCAATAACCTGCGAACAAAAGAAAGACATTTTTTCAACAACAAGGAGGCCCCGAGAAGTACACCAAGGCAAATTGATAAACACACAAACGAAGGTGGGTCTGTAACCCAGTCACTCAAAATTAGTTTTGCCAATTTCTCCGCAAAGTGGGAAATTTCAGCATTTCACAAAACGGCTCCAACAATACTCAAAATAAGTTTAAAAGTACTTCTAAAGAGTAAAAATTCAAGGTATAATTGGATTCTAGTCGAGTATGAAATATATCTAACAAATTACTTTGGAAGAAATCATTTGTCAAAGCAAGACACGAACACAAAGTTAATGAAACCACCAATGAGGGAATATTGGGCCACTACAGAATTTGGGAAAAATAAAGTACGATAATTAATTCTGACCTTTAATATTGCAAATACGGGGTGTGCGATAGACTTACCTCCACGTGGTGCACTCTGGGCAACGTATGCTCATACGGCAAAAAAGTCTATTAACCGGCAGTTGACTTCTGACCTCAAACTACCATGACCCCATGGCATGCCAAATTCGACAACTTCAACAGTACTCATCATACTTTTTCTCTGCAATTGTGCCAATTTGTCTCTTTATATCTGAGAATCAATCAACTTTCCCTCCTCTCGAATTTTTCCCACTACGATGTTCCTCCCATCTGTAAAGTCCGAAGTCACCTAACTATCAAAACGCCTGCCATTTGAAATAAATAAACATTGCAAATACAGCGACTGGAGGTTGAAAGTGCTTTATTGTTTACTTTACTATACTCCTCGAACCCCACCAGCCAATTCAACAAAATTATGTTCTAGTATCAATTTTGATAGTCGCACCACGAGTCTACCTGGTGAGAAAAATGAATTCCATCTCAAATTCAAGTTTTTGGCTCATTCTGCTCAATGTGCATCGAAAAATCCGACTTCGCAATTTAATCTGCCTCAATTCCATCAATGCAACCTCACACCTTCTCATAGAACTTCCAATTCACAGTGGAAGGATTAAAAGTATTCGATTGTGCACTCGTTACAAATTCAATACAAACTGGCGAACACACAGGGAATGGAAGGGTTAAATTGAGTTGGCCAAAAGAGTGACTGAAATTGGGTCAATCATTAAGAAGAGGAGAACTCAAATTCAAAATGGTAGACGGGAAGCGTTTTCCTTAAAAACCTTAGGAATTTCTGTTATTATACAGTGTCGAATTAATTCATGTAATTAAAACGACTATCTACTTTGCGAAGTGGTATTTGAAACTCTTTGATCTCCCTTTATATCAGAAACTGGTGAAAAACGAAATTGCCAGATTTTGCGAGCTATCCTGTTCTATTATAATAACCAGACCATGTTTATGAGACAAAAAATACAGCTGTGAGAAAACTCAAATATTCATCCATACTTGGAAAAGATAGCTAATATTGGTTCAGGTGCCGTCTGGAAGACTAAATGCCCAAAAGTAGAAAGAAGACAGTTTGATTTTTATCAAAGTTCGTAAACGGTCACGAGAAACATAAAATAGCAGTGGCATTGGCATAACGATAGTCAAGGTCACTGTAAGCTGATCTATGCGGACTCCAGAAACTCAGATCAATAATGAAAGTACATATATTTGCATTAAGAAAATGAAATTGATTCAAAAAATTGGTTACCCCACTGCCATTCTGCCATCCCCTTACTCATGGCAATAGTATGTGAGACTTCTACTTCAACAGACTCTAATAAGAAGTTTAGTTGAAAAGAATTCTTTCCTATCCCCATTAAAAATTGGATACAATATTTTGACATACGACCCGGAATAAGAAATTTCACAAAAAAATTGAGGATTTTATGTCTACATTCAATTCCCCCCCCCCCCTGAATAAGACATGAGCAAAACCATCTTTGCTTATTTAAACGCAAAGATTAGATAAATAAATGAACTAATTGCAGCAAGTCAAATTAATTACTACACGCTATCAAAAAGATCAGAATTGACACAAGCATGAAAGAAACACATGCCACTAATATTGTAACCATGTGCAAAGACCAAGACATTCTACTTATAGCAGCAGAGCATAAATAAGAAAGATTTCAACGTAATTCAAGAGTGATTAATCATATTTTTAAAGTTTAAGGAGATGAGGTGGGGGGGGGGGATATGTGGGTTCCACTATTAAGCACGAGCATGGAAAATGGAATTTAATTACAAAAAATTAAGGCATAAATAGGACTCACCATCCTGGAGGAAAGTCCACGAGTGGCATATTTCTCAGCCCACGCATAAGATTTTCCGGTTGAAAAACCCTCCCAGAAAGTATAAAACGGTCGAACAATTGTTTCATAACCGCTATCTGATCGACCAAACGTTGGAAAAAATGTATCCTCCTCGTCACTATCTAACTGATGAAATTTATCCGAGGCCCGTCGTTCTTCATCAGCTATTTGTTCGAAGACATTTCGGAAGACAGTATAAAAACCCTAAGAAAAAAATACTTATAAGAAAAAAAGAAGTATAGAAACATACATTTGGTCCATCATCAAAATCGGTAAAACAGGAACGCGTGAAGTACTTATATACGTCCAAACGTTCTTCCGTGTATTCACCAGCAATACCACCTTGACCACCACGAAGAATTTGATCTCTATGACGATCATACCAAGCGCGTTCTTGAATGTCTGATAAAACTCGATATGCTTCTTGTAGCTCTTGAAACTTGGATGTGGCGTCTGGTGACTGATTTTTATCTGGATGCCAGATAAGTGAAGCTTTACGAAAAGCCTTTTTAATTTCATCAGCGTCAGCGGTTTTTTCAACTCCTACAGGAATCTATATTAAAACTAAGCAAGGACAAACCTAAAAGTTCATAATAGCAACGCATTTCTATATTAAGATAATATAAAACATAAAAGACACGACCGATAACGTTGAAAAAGAATTGAGGTGATGGGTTAAATTAGCTATCACAGCAAAATCGGTAAAGGTTAGGTTTCTATTAGCGTCACAAAACAAATCAAATGCTTTTTGCTTTTAAAAATTAAAACTTATGTATCATTTAAAAACTGATACAACTTATTCAAAATGATTTACTTGATAAGAAAGAATTTTATTTATATAGTGCAATCAAAATGATATAATTGATACATTAAATGTTCCATTGAATAAAAACTTCAAATATATAAAGATTATAAATTAAATAAAGATTCATTTTTTATGAGTGATATATTTTCTTTCTCTTCTAACCTTCCAGATTTAGAAAAAATTAATCAATAATAAGTACTTCAAATAACTTCTTTTCATTTTGACAACTGCGTTAGCCCTTGGATAGTTTTCAAGACTATGTAGAAATGTTAAAATTTCAGAAATAACCTCGCTTACGTATAAGTTGAACAACAAATTCCAACAAGATTTTATACTGCACTCTTTACCCTTATTCCACAATCAAGGTTTTAAGTTCTTGAAATATGATATGCGTTTTCGTCGATTCCAAAGAGTACGGCCTCAATACAAGACGAATTGTTTATATAATGGTGTCGGTGTTCTTAAACTATGTACGAGAACCCGATGTTGTGTTAAATTTGCAGTGATTGATACATAATTCAACTAAGTAGGGCACAGATACATCGTCACAAAATTACAACCCCATTATGCTCATATAATTTGTTAAAATGAAACTGATTGACCAAAAGATTCGTAATTTAGAAAGAAATTCATTTTCTAAATTTATCTGGATATTCATGTATTGTAAAACATATTTCTTCCACGTCTTTGCTAGTCGAAAAATCGTATGTTTATTTTTGTTGTTTCAAATTTGATACCCGAAAGCTGAAAACTAAGCATTTTCTTTCATATAATTTACAGTGAAGTACATTTAACTCATTTAAATTGCTTAGAACAGACCCAGTCATGGTTTCACTTGTCGTTTAAAAAATGTGCAACATCTAAACAACTTCATAACTGACAAGTTGGGTCATCTTCGATTTGCAAGCGAATTAATTTTAATATCTCAATTTGGAAAGAAACTGGAATAATTTACCAATGCTAATATCCAACTAATGGTTGGATATGAAAAGGACTTGACATAGTGTATTTATTAGTTTGACATTTGAGACCGACACGATTGTCATTTATTTATAACAAATGTCAGGCGTTTTGATAGCTATAATTAGCCCTTTAGTTGACTTCAGGCTTCAGAGTGAGGATTAACATCAAAGTGAGGAAAAGTCGAGTATGGGACAGAAGGCCAAATCATTGATGTAAAAGAGACAGGTAGGCACAAAGGTAGAGTAAAGGTATGGTGAGTACTGTGAAAGTGGTCCAATATGGCACTCAGTTGGGTCATGATATTATGAAGTAAGCAGTCAACCGTCGGTCGATAGATCTTTTTGTAGTATGAGTATACGTTGACCACGGCACACCACGTGGAGGCATTCATCAATGATATTAACAGCTGCTACTGCCCTCTGAGATTATCCATTTTTCAAGCATAATGTGAACATAACTGACATCTCTCTAAAAAATTTTGCATACAAGTCCAAAGTCTATTATCTAGTAGCTGACCTTTCTCAATAATTGCTCCATATTAATTTTGCGGTATGAATGGCTCGATTTTGCTAATTATAATACTCATAATTTGTGGTTTATTTGATTTTTCAGTATTATTGAAACACGTGTAACACTTATGATATCATTGCTTCACAATCATTTTATTCCAATATAGTTTGTTCAAAGCAAACCAATGATCAGAAGAAAATGCAGTAATTGCTACTTATTTATGGAAAATTTGTTCATTCGTAGTACCTTATTAAATTGTGGCCAAGTTAGTTCATTATATCTACTATAGCAAAATTATCTGTAAAATTTGGAATAATTTAAATTAGACATTTACCATTAGATATTATTTAAAAAATAAAACTATGTGAACTTTTTCATAGTTTGATTGGTCAAAGTTGCTAGTCTTATGGTCAGTCATATGTTAATAAGGCGTTCCTTCAGGGCCATTACTTGAGTTTGTCAAACTGATATTGGGTGCTTAGTCTCCTCAAATTTTGATTAAATTTTAAGACTTTCTTTTCCAAATTTTTGATTATGGCTACTAGGATCGATGGTGATGCTCCTCAAAAACCCAAACAGCAGTACGAACGTATGCATCTTCTCATTCCGAATAATTGTTAATGCTGTTTTAGATTTGGACCACACTGCTGATGTCCAGTAAGTTCATTTATTAACTTTTATCTTCTTAAATAACGTAGAATTCATGCGTGGGGCAAAGATATAAAGGAGGCTTTTGAACAAGTTCGTTTATATGTTAAATTACTAATTTCTTTAGGCTGCAATGGCAATGTTTTCTTACATGACTACGGACTATGATAAAATCGATATGAAATACACCTATGAAATTGAAGCCGAAGGTACTGATATGGAGAATCTTCTGTTTAGTTTTCTCGATGAATGGCTTTTCGCATTTTCTGCTGATGATTTCTTTTTCCCCAGGGTAAAACTTTGTTTTTTTAATGACCAAACCACATTTTAGATAATTAAAATAACTGATTTCGATGCAAATAACTTTCGAATTAAGTCTGTTGGGTATGTTTAGTCTTCTATTTATTTATTTTTTCTAGCTATGGAGAACCTTTCGATTTGAACAAACATCCACAGGGTACAGAGGTTAAAGCCATAACCTACTCCAACATGCAAATCCACAACAAGGACGACATGCATGAGGTCTTCGTCATTATCGATATATAATGTGGTAACCATTGTCCAGGCTGATTTTTATTAAATTCTGACTTTTTGAAATCTTTATTGTTTCGTTTGTGAGAATAACCCGTGACTGTCATAGCATCATTGGCGCCAAAGTAAGATATGTGACGTTGCTAACCTGACGTCACTTTTATGCTCTAATATCTTGTTTTTGTCTACTAAAAGGAATTATCCGCTTAGGTGAGGGGATCTCCATAGGAAAAAGGAAAATTTTATTTGAAGTTCATTGTTATTTTATATTCAGTGGCGTATTCGAAGCCACTCATTACTACTTAACTTCATTGATTTGTCTATCGGTAAACTAAAACACCTTCAAGTCCAAAGTCACCAGTTGTATATATAATTAAAGGATCTTTGAACTTTGTTTCTTACTGTTTACTGTTCAAATTACTTTAATTGTTGTTATGTTGGAGAAGGATCAGTGGTAGCATGTTATCCGAGTGATTGCAGCGCTTTGCTAAATGCGGAGAAAGCTAAGTTCTATATCCTGACTAATTTCGATATTTCATCGAATTTATTTCAGTATTCACTGGCATAGACTAAATCCAAGCCCTTTCTGGCATTCATATTTGATAAAGATATTATAGCAACATCGGCAAGTATACTCCCCCCCCCCTCTCCTATCTTCTCCCATCCTGGTACAGTCAAGGGGCATAATTTTACGCCCACAGAAAGAGAATTCTTCTCTAAAAAGAAGCTTACATGTCCCGGAATATGTGCCAATGCGTTGATTTTTCAAGCTACTATATTATAGGAAAGCGTTTTCTAACAATCATCCCAGAACATTGACCCCGTGACTTCTAACTGGGTGGACATGTACGTTGACCACCGCGAAAAAAATACACCGATTTGCCGATTATCAGCATAACTTCGCATAACAACAAGCATGCAGGGTAAATTATCGAAAACAGATTAAAAAAAGAAAAAAGCAACTGGGATATGGATATGATATTTCTCTTAAGGTTAGCGAAAATCTATACGCATAGAGCCCGTAGAAGTGACAAGACGCCTCCATTCCTTGACAATTTCAAGACCATGCCTCGAGAGAATGGTGGATGCAGCACCCAAGGTGGTAACAATCCTATCGCCTTCTACAGTGTAACTGGAAGAAGGGAGCATAAGAGCGCATCGAGTGGAATAGGGAAGCATAATAACAATGGAGTCCGTAGAATCATGAGACGAGGAAGAACCGGTGGTGGAATTGTCTTCTGCAAATCGGGCATACTTCTGAACATCGAGGAGACGTTTACAGCGCTCAATGGGAACCCAAGTGTTTGTCTCCGGGCAGACTAAGTACGATGGAGAGAAGGCCCCCTTGTAGCGCATTTTGACACAGGAGTGAATGTAGTAGCCCATATAGTATTGCGTGAAATCAGCGTACGCCGAAACTCTCCGACTATAAGAGCGTTGGAGATGGCGAATAAAGGCAATTTCGCTGTGTGAAAGAAAGCATCAAAGAAGAAGATATTGCGTTAAGTGCGTAAAAGTGCCGAGAAAATCGATAAGAACTAGCTTGGATGTGCTTAAGTGGCATTAACCTAACTAACAGGCTCCAGCATGCTCTTTCAATACAAAAAAACGAGAACTAAGACCGTGACAAAGGAGAGGGGAGCTGGGCTGCACGTCTAGGTTGCGTCTTTGAATGTAGAATTATGGAACGATTCATCAACTTCCAGTCACAATCCAAATGCGTCTAGTACTGGTAAGAAAGAGGACTGTATGTCGTAAATAGATGGGGTAGGGACTCTATGACACGCTCGGTGCCCTAAATTGAAGGTAGAAAAGGGATTGCCATGATGAGTAACACAGATTTTTAAGTAAAAGCCATCGGGGGGTTGCAGAATGAACCCACACCTAAAGTGGGGAACTTTACTGACTTTCAAAAGCATCAGGTAACAATCCAAATAGTAGCCTGGGAAAGAAATTATATATTGGATGTTTGAGGAGTAAGAGATACAAGGAAGTTGTCATTGCCAAGGCTTTTATTTCAGATAGAACTAAAGCGCACTCAAAAATAGTATGGAATCTAGCTAGCTTGTGCCAATTAACAACTCCCAAACACAAGGCAGATTTTACCCGAAATGCCGGCTTTCGCGCTTGAAAGCAAACACCCACAATTGCTTCAAAAAAAGACATAAGAAGAAATAATAAATGCTAATTGATTAGAGCTTCGCTTTGTCTTCGATTTATGATACATGAAATGGTCGAGTTAGAGAATATTTAGAAAAGTATTTCAAATTATAATAAGAATGATAAGTCGACATCGTTGTTTTTTATTACCCTCTAAACACCTACATTAATATTAAAGTCAAAGGATTTCCCAGCTCATTAAAGTTAACATTAGATAAATGGAAGGTATCATCAAGGACATTCAAGTAAGAAACTTCCATTCTAATACCCGCCCCGCTTACCCCCCCCCCCCAACCTGCTGGCCACTGAATCCTCGTCTAGCAACATCGATTACATGATCTGGGGCTTTGGAAACGTGCAAGTTAGTCGCTACACTATTCCACTTTAAACTAACAAACCAAACATACGCTTGTCTTAATTCAGTTCGCTACAAACGCACCCGTAGTTAGTCCCTCCCTTGTCCTTTTCTACCGTGGTGTCCGGGACGACTGAGAGAAGTCAAAATTCCAAGCTCTCCGCATCAAAAAATAAGCTAAACTCATTTCCTAATCTAAGTTTGGGACTTGGAAGTTTAACGAAGTACTTCGGAAAGATTATTCAAATCTGAGAAACGGGAACGTACCGAAGAGCGGAATACGTTCCAAGATGAAGAAAGGCATATTCGGGATCGTAGAACAGATATACAGATGAAAGACAACCAGGAACCAAATCTATAACTCCTACAGCGATCAATTTATTCCCATCCAGCCAATATTGCTGATGATATGATCCAAATTGAGGTGCGCCAGCCGAATTGGCTTGTTTATTACGTTTGCTCTATTAAAGTAAGCGAAGTAAACACCATGACTAATAAAACTAACAGTCAAAGGCGATGAGACCAGAAATTCTTCGAAGCTCCGTGGAGTAATACGATTCGGGTCATCTTTATGAATTTTAACTTGGTAAGCCTTGTACAAATCAAATTCTTGCTGGAAAGTCCTATCGAACTCATCAGATTTCGGCGAACTTCTGCATAATCTAATCTAATTTCTGAAATGAGAAAATGGAAAGAAAACTTACATCGATGAAATGAGCTGCACCTTCTTGAGATGAACCGGAGTCTAATAATTCCTCAAGTTCCTTTGGTTTATTTTTTTCAAGCCGCCTCTTCCTACGGAGAAGATATTCACTGAAGACTTCGTCATATGGAATACCAAGAGTTTGAGCTCGCTTTTGCATCCGATCTTGTAGCGCTTGCCATCTTTTCTTACGCGCTGAGCCTGATCTTCCCGAATTTCTCATAGAACTAACAGGCTGAGTGGAAATTTCGGAGTCACCAGAAGCCAAGGAATTGAAATTTAATCGACTCATGGAAGAGTCAAAGTTGTTTTCGGGACAATCTCCACGACAATCTGTAGAAGCGATAGCCGCTGCATTATCAGCATCTACCGGCTTTTCGCCCGTAAGTAAAAATTTATTGACAGTACGCAAAACCCTCTTCTGAGCCCGAGAAATTCGAAATTGCTCAGCGTCACATCGGATTGTATAAGCAGGACAACACGTTATACGATTATCAGGCTTATATATATGAGTACCACATCTAAAGTTCTTAAGTAATTAGTGGATATTCACATACCTACGCCAACCACTATCCATTAAGATTTTATAATCACTGGCGATAAGTTTATTTGTATGAGTGTCTAGAAATTTTTGTACAGGAAAGTTAACCTACACCATGTGTTTTTATCACCTTCGCCTTTACAATAGCCACAATGGCCACCAGTGGATTTACCGTATAACTGTAATGGCGTAAACATGACAAGGTCTATTCTGTCTGAAGATTATTAAACTGTAAAGTATATAATTTGCTCAGAAGAAACTAGCGCAATTAATTCAGTCTTAAATCCCGAGCATCAGCTCTCAACGAATGAACGAACGCCCTTCACAAATGAAGCCATCGTTTCAAAGACTTATTTTTCAACCTTAAGTTGTTTTTATAATATTTTCTTCAACGTTGATTTATTACTACATATTATAAAGTTTTATTTTAGCATAAAATTTTAATAAATCTTTGTTTTACAGAAATATTAGAATATTCCGTTATAGTGAAATTGAAATTTCCTTTTTCCTCAAATAGTTAGCCACGAAGAACTAAATAATGTAAATTGGGTATTAGATTCGTTGGCCAATGATTTTATCTATTTTTCAGCCTTAACTGCATTAAATTTGAATAATTATGTTCCTAACCTTAAGATCCTTTATTACAAAAATTACGTTCTCGAATTTAATTTCAAGAGCTATATTTTTAATATGTTATTACACTACATACTTGTTCAAATATGGACATTATTTTAACTTGTTAGCAAAAATACTTCTAAGATAATTGCACTTCATGGAACATAACTTTGAAACAATTCATGAAAGTTACTAGAGGAAAATTATTTGATCTTGAATGAGCCTGTTCTCTGTTTGATAAACCATTTAAACACTAATCGCAAATATATTCAAACTTTCTTCTTTTGACCAACTGGGGCTCTGGAAGGATAACGCGCAAGGGTTATATCAATTAAGCGTTTATAACAGATAATGATAAAAATACATACGGAAGAATATATGTTAAAAGAAAATGTAACCCCAAAAAATCCGACAGTGCTATTCATCAATGCCCCATAAAAATGAGTTTAAATAACTACTACATTGAAATTGCAAAGTTAACTTCTGACATGTATAGAACGAGAAACCCATTTTAAGTATTAGTCAATCTTTCAAACAGCGAACAGTTATACACTCGAGCTTTCTTTATAATGCAGACTTTATATAAATAGTCAAATGGTGTCATATAAAGGTTGACGATTAAAATGCTTGAATTCAAATTCCCTATAAGATCATTTCAAATTGTCTTTGAAGAAGTGAAAGCGCGGTCCATTTTATAATTTGTTTCAATCTATGGAGCAAAGAATCCTTTGAAGACATAAGAATTTCCTAAAAACTTTTCATTTCTCATATTCCCTATAATCTACAACTGAGAACACACCAAAGATACCTATTTCGTAATATATGTTCGCCATGTGATTATTTTATTCATTTCCGTCTTTCTTTTTGAGGATTTCAGTTTGAGGATTTGAAAGTCCCAATATCGAGGGTCTAACATTCTTTCATTCAACACCTTAGATATTAGTAACAGCCACAGTAAATCAATATTGAGCGCTCTACCTTTATAGTAAAAAACGGATATGTTTGCAGCCAGCATCGTAATTTAAATTAATTAACATCAAATCCCCACGCTTAACTAAATTGTGGCTTAGTAAACAAGATAGACCCAAAATCTTATCGAACATATTTTCTGAACATGATTATATAAGTCAATCTAATTTTTGATAGAATATTTAAACTATTAAAACGTAATATACAATGGCATGACAAGTGAAATGGAATACCCTATTTTGCTTCAAGCACTGGCGATGAAATTGTATCCTCTCTTAGGCCCTAAGCACCAAAGATAAACCTGTAGGAGAACAAGGATCAACAAGAGCTGGCAGTTGAGGTGGAAGTTGGACTTGAAACTACACTATTATTGATATTTTGAGATGCTTTTCACTCTCGAGACGCTCTCAACTTGAAGCAGTGATTGAGAATTTTTGAAACAATTGTCTAGCCGATAAGCTATTCCATATCTTCAAACTCTGCTATTATTTATCCCATTCTCGCGCAAATTTTGTTGTTGTCAATTCTTCCATTGCACTATTTCTGTTAATTCCATTCAGAATTTAATTAATGAATAAGATGATAACTTACAACAAAATAGAAAAAAAGAATCGGCAAAAACGCACTAAAAGCAGTAGTCCTTGTAGGACACGCTTTCGCTCTGTGCGTCATCGAATGCTCTCCAGGATTGGGAGGTGCGGTCGTACAATTCTGTGTGCAGCGACCGTACAAACAGTGACCAATCATTAACCTCTGTTTAACCTAATCCCCCATCCTGATCATGAGTAGCTCCATGCGTGCACACTTTATCCGCAATATCCGTACTGAATAAACGTGCTCCGTGCTACACGTCTGTTTCCTTGATAGCTGGGCTATAACTTAGCTGGTTCTGGGAGTCTAGGTAGATGTAGGAAGATCTGCCATAGAGATTTCTGAGTCAGTCAGACTTTAATAAAGTAGCAATCCGCTACAGTCCTAATCTGAATATTTCAAAATAAATTTATAAAGTGCATATCTGTTCTTTTGATATCGAGGTCTTGAGCTCAATAAGTGGATAAGCTTTCTTCACCACATGATATCTATAGTGCGATTGCAAAAGTGAATGTCGACGCTGTTTCGTCATTTAATTACGTGAATGACGAAATGGGATAGGAGAAATTTCAGTTAACACACTACTTATTGAAATTTAAGTTTGAAAGCTTAGTATCTAGAAGATCTACACTACAGGGAGGATTCAAATTCTGTGACTAAATTTTATCAGAACCATAATATGCGAAGAACTAATTTAATTTCAACGAAAACGGCAAAAAACTTTGCCCCGAAAACCTGCAGACAAAATGAAAGGGAAAGAAAATTTATTTATTATTTATCTATTATTTCAAGAGCTTGAAATAATAGAATTTAAGTTGAATTTATTTTATTTATATCAAATGGCAGGCGTTTTGATAGTTATCATTAGCCCTTTAGTTGACTTCAGACTTCACAGATGGGAAGGAACATCAAAGTGAAAAAGGTCGAGAGTGGGGGGGG